CCAATAAGATGAATTATATGAGTCTGATAATGGTAGCAACTTAGATTAGATTAATAAAAGTAATAAAAATAATTTGTTATTTAATATTTTTTGATTTTAAACTGCAAGATAAACATCAGTAGCAGTAGAATATATAGAAAACCTGGTTAACAATAATATTTCTGCTTTTCTAAGACTTCTAATAATTTCTAAGACTGTTCACCTTTATTTAAGTTAACAGTGTAATATTATTAATAGATCAAAGCCATAATTAAAGAAAAGAATTAAACTAGAGATTTGTTCTTCAAAAAAACGAGATTAATGAGAACTTGTGGTTAAAAAAAAAGTGATCAAACGAGAGCAATATAAAGCCAAAATATAACTTGCGTTAAATCTAAAGTTGTGCATGCGCTGCTTTAAAACTAATCAACGAAAAAATGCTGTACCACAAATAAAAGACTTTTAACAAGCCAGTTTGCCATCAACTTGTGATACTAAAGATTGCTCTAGAGCAACCTTTAGTATCACAAGTTGGCGACAACCAGACTCTCTAGAACATGGCAACGAGCGCGCCTAATTACGCTTAATCACGCTCGTTGACAACATATTTGAATTTTAAAAGGTAAAGAAGTTCGATATTTTTATGATATTGCCAAAATTGCAAATGCATTTTTTTTCCGGTAAAATTTTTGAGTGAGTTAAACTTTTTTTTTCCATTAATTGAAAAAAATATGCATTTTGAAACCATTTGGAATACGTTATTTGCACATTAATACTAGACTTGATTAGAACAGAAAATATATTAGCATAAATAAAGGGATTTTTTTTTTTAATAATAAATTTAGGAACGCATTACAATAAATCACTTTATTCAATAATAATCTTTAGGCATTTTTGTTTTCAAGATTATAATGATTTCAGCTCGTAGTTATAATAATGTTAAATATGATTTATTAATATTGATATGTAATGATTTTAGCACGTAGTTATAATAATGTTAAATATGATTAATATTGATATGTAACGCAGCAGTTTTACATTTTTTTAATGATATTTTGCAATATTTGTGATTTTGAGAATTCGTAAGTGCAAATATGTTTGTGCAATGTAATTTGCAAGAAAGCTTTGTAAAACAAATCTAAAATTAAAAAGTAAATACAATAAAGTAACGCTTAGTGAAAAGTTTTTATGTCTAAAGTTTCTTATAGCTAAGAAACGGTGTACAACAGATAAGCAACAATTAGGTTTTAATACGGAAATAATCTCTTGCATAATTCACTCAACATAACGTGCTTTTAAATATAGGGGAGACTTTGAACACGGCAGAGAATGGAAACTTTAAAATTTTTCTACAATGTTAACATTAGGACAATGATGTATATGGTCGATATGTTGGTAGACATACACTCTTAGCTTTAAAATAGTCAGGTTACAGTTTCTAGTTAAAAACTCTGCAAGAGTTTGTGCAATTTATTTTTAGAACAAAAGGTTACCTGTAATGTAAGTATTTGTGATCTATAAATGAGTTTGCAATGATTCTCTTGATTTTTTCAATACATCCCATGTTTCGGATAATTATGACAATTATTAAAGTTTTGTAAGTTTCTATTTGCACATCATTAACTGTTGCAACACTATAATTCCCTTGTAGATTAATTCCGCACAAAGGAAAAAACCTCAGAATATTGATTTTATAACTGTGGGTGTAACAACTTATTTCAAGAAAAGTCAAGTTTTTTCTCCATTGATGAAAGCTTTGCTAGCTAAATATTTAGTTAAATCATCAATGTTCAATAGTCTAGTACAATAAGCTACAAGAAGTTTGGCCTTTGAATATGTGGGGAGAAATTTTATAAAGTATCCACGAAAATGAAAGGAATAGAAGTCTGCAGGACCTGATTGGTTCGCGTCATTCATGATAACATATCAGTACGATCACTTATCAACACGATCACTTGAAGCTACGAGTCTCTTTTGAATGACTAGTTTCAATAGAGTAATTTAAAAGTAGAAAATTTTGTGCCCTTTTGCTAATTTAAGGAGCTTTTATTTTAGCAAAACCTAGCAGTAAAATTTGGGAGATTTTGAGACTCAAATGACACGTTTTTTTTGTTTTTGTTTTTTAGGGGGAGGGTGTCTCCGACCTATCGGCCATTGTACTGCTTAAACCTGCTTTTGTCGACTCAAAAAATAGGTTGCCTGAAATACGCTTTACTCAGAAACAATTTATAAGGGGTTATATGTACGCATGGGCGCCCGCAAGATTTTTTGATGTTTTAGATAGGACACTTTTACACATTTGGCATAGGTATACTTTTGGAACTTGTACAAGATCCAAACATATGTATGCCTATGTCAAATGTGTGAAATTTGTGCAAGCTCTAAAACTTAAGTATAACTATGGCTTGGTGATAAGACCAATTATGTCTTCTTCTTGCCCCTGCTATTTGTATTTATATTATTATTTACGACTGTAATAGATTTATATGGCAAAATAAATAAATAAATGAATAAGTAAAATAAAACTATGCCAAATGAGGAGGCCTTGCAAAAAATTAGGATGGCGGAGACCTGCAAACAAAAAACCCTAAAACGCTTGCTCCCCCTGCCCAAACGTGAGGCACTAACGTAGTAAAATTTCAACTTATCCATCTAAAACTAAATTTAAATTTATCGGCAAATTTTATATTTTGTAGAAAAATATTGTAAATTACAAAAGTTATGACCATACAAAATATACACCCCTCCTCTTTTATTTTAGGTGGGTGTTTCAGGGCTTTTTTGCTCCCAGGCCTCCGCTTTCTTAATTTTTTGCAAGGCCTCCTCGTTTAGCATAAGTATAAACATATTTAAATTTGGAGTTTGCACAATGTGTAAAAGTGTCCTATCTAGAACATTAAAAAGTTCTGCGGGTCCCCATGCTTGTGTGTGAATTAAGGGAAACTATACCCTATGCTCCTTATGCCAAACATCTTTTTATGATGGCAAACTAGGATCTTTAGTCAGAACTTTAACTTTTCTATTGATTAGCTGGTTAATTGTGATAAATTAGAAAATCGATGTACGTACTTTTAAATTAAACCCTTCCCCCCCCCCCCCCCATACGCTTTCGTACACTTTTTGAAGACCTCCCCCTCCCCCCTATGAGCGTACGTACTTTATGGACGACCCCTAACCGTAGTGCCGCGTCTTTCTAAAGTTATAGCTCAGAAACGGCAGCACCAAGTTGGTCAAGTTCGAGAAAGAGAAGAATCAGTAACACATACAAGAATCATAAGTGCGCCTGGTCATGCCTTACCATCTGTTTGGATTTTTCTTCGCTTTAATTAAAGAAAAATGACGCAAGGTATTCCAGGCTCTGCAGGACTTGGTTTGGGTAACCTTTTTGGCTTGGTGACAAATGAGAATTTCGTTAAGGTGTTAGAATATATTTTTCAGAATGTCCGTTGTTCTCCACAAAACAAGGATTGATCATGGACAACCTTGAGCTCCATTTATCTATAGACAGACTAAATTAGAGCAAGAAAAATTGAATTTTTATTCTTACGCTGCCACCAAATACATAAAATAAACTTCAACTATTGTACAGAACTCTATTTGAACCATTTATTCATTTTTACAATAATGGTCTGGATTCATGGATTTTATTACACCCATCATTTTATGGTCAAACTTTTAACATTTTATGATATCCCACAAATTTGTCTCCAAGCTTGGAATAGAGCTGCTACTCTTACAAATATGAAATCTGTATTTAGATGCACTGGTATTTGACCTTTTGATAAAACTTTTTTTTACTTATCATCTTATGTGATAGATCGGCCAGAAACAGCTCAATCAAATAGCTCTATAACATCTCATAACACCGTTGATCAATCTGTATTAGGTCAACCGCTTACAATACCTCCATTGGGTGATGAGGATAATGTTAAACAGATGCAAGTAAATACAACTGCTAATAGTACTCATATTGAAACACAACCGAGTTTCTCATCTCATAATGTTATGGTGAGTTTCCACTCATCCGTTTTTCAACGGGAACGAAATAGGGAAGAGGAAAATAATCACGTGAACATGCGAAGTTTTCGTTCGAACAAGTATAAACTTATACTACGCATGCCCACGTGATTTTTTTTATCCCCTCTTTTCCGTTCCCATAAAAAAACGGATGAGTAGAAAATTCACCTTATTCATAACATGAGGATGTCAACTGTTTCTAATTTTCCAACTTTTCATCAACTCTTTCTAATTTTACAAAAACAGTTGCAATGAAGTCTCAACTTTATTGAAGCGTTTCTAATAATACACATATTACCCCACAACAAATTCATCAGTATCTTAAAGCTGCTCCACAGAAGTCAAAGACTAATAACCGAAGACAACGTAAGGGTAAATTTATAGTAGCCACAGATAGCCCGGAAAAAGAGGCACTTGCAATTGCAAAAAAAGAAAGAATGGCGAAGAAGCTTACAAAAAATTTATTGAAGAAAAAAATTCTACAGAGAAAAACCTCTAAAAAAGCAATCCTTCAAAAATCATTGCTAGATAATCAATAGATCTACAAATTTCAACAATTGAGACTACATATAACCTTGATTACATTGGATTTAATGACAGAAATGCTAATATTTTTTATGTGCTATGATGTGTCGTTTTGAGAACATGATACATTTTAAGTGCAATTCGGATGAATACTGATTGTACTAATTTATAAATGACTATAAACTATAATCATTGAAATTGCGTATTTATTTATTTCATTTTCATCATCTTATCTATACATAACTGAAGTATGCATAAGTAAGATGACAATGGGGTGACGTCGGATACTTAATTTGCATTTTTGTAATAGTTTTTAAACATTGAAAATCAAGAAATATATATATATATATATATATATATATATATATATATACATATATATATATATATATATATATATATATATATATATATATATATATATATATATATATATATATATATATATATATATACACACAGTTAATTTACATTCTAACCTGCAACTAAACATCCTTGCTTAAAAAAAACTTCATCTGCGTCAACATTTTTTATGTAAATTCCTGCAGTGCCAAAATCTAGTCCAACGCAGTCGGCTGACTTTTTTTCAACAATAACTTTTTCTGTAAACAAATGTATATCACGCTTAATTTATCAATTACCTAAATATTTATCTTTTAAAACTTTTACATAAATGTTTAATTTCATTTATACTACAATTTAGAAAATTCTTGTTCAGTAATGACTACCTGTTGGAACTAGATTATAATCAGTTTGGGCTCCAAATGATCTGAATTGTTTTATGTGAAGGCAGTTTAAAATTTCAGAAGAGCAGGCTGAATTGATGAATTTTCCATCATTTTTTTTGTAGTTTTCAACTAAGCTAGAGTTTTTAGTCAGATTAGGCATGGAAAAAGATTTCTGAAGCTGGAGTATATCTGGAAAAGGTAAGATTGATTCATTGCAAGGTGGAATAAATTTTGTGTCGTGTCTTTCCCTCACTAATAAATAAGCAAGCAATACTACACTTTAATTATTTTAGCGAGAATAAAAAATCAAACCACAAAATTTTATGTTTTTATATTAAAATACTAAACGAACGTTAAATTACCTTTGCATATGAAATCCTCCTCAAAAAGCTTATTCCTTTTCCCTTTTACATGTTCCAAGTTTTCTTTAAAATCTATGTTAGATAAATTGCACAATAAATGTTTAGGCTTTCTTAGAAATGGTGTGATATTACAATTGCATGCCTCAACACATAAAGTTATTTCACATATTACAGCATGTGGTAAATAATTGCTAACTTTATGATATGTCTACTTACACACATGTTTAGTTCCTTTAAGATGTTTAATATAAGCTAAAGTTACCTTTATTTACAAAAAAAAAAAACATTCTAAACACAATAGATTATTCGATTGTGAGGCAGATATAGAACTGACGCACAAACAATTTCAGTAAAAAAATAAAGAGATGAAAATATAACTTATGCAATGTATTGCATTAAAAAAAAACAATTTATAACTTGATGAAGAAATGTTATTTTCTAACTGAAATTTAAAAAAAAAAAGACTATGATAATGTTAATCAAGGCAAAAAATACACTTTAAAAGCATTTTTATTCTAACGTATAACATTAAATCATAAATAAATATATTTTTACAAAAAACTCTTATTTATCTATTTTTCTTACTCAAACATCGATTCTTCGGAACTCTCCAGCCTTTCTTACTCAAACATCGATTCTTCGGAACTCTCCAGCCTTTCTTACTCAAACATCGATTCTTCGGAACTCTCCAGCCTTTCTTACTCAAACATCGATTCTTCGGAACTCTCCAGCCTTTCTTACTTATACAGTTTTTTAAGTTTTTTGTTAATTTAATTAGTGGTCTCTTGCAATATTGCTACCTCAAATCTTTATTAAGTAGATATTAGTAAGTTAGTTTCTTTTGAGTAATTTATTTGTTATTTTAAGTTTGATTTAATTCATTGAGTTTGTTTGTAACTTATCAGATAAACCTCCTTATCCTCCTAATCAAATGAACCTCTTTATCCTCCTTATCAGATGAACCAGCCTCGTAAAGTTCATATTCATATGGTTATAGTAGATTTTTTTACAGCTATTTCTGTCAATACATCATGTATATGAAAAACATTTTTGGCAACGCTAATTGTGTTTTTTTTTGGTTCCCCTCTTCCATTTAAGAAAGATAAGAGGAATCGAAATTTAATCTCCATTACTTTAAAGAAGGTCAATTGGTTGTGTAAGTGTGCTTCCAGTGAGCACAAACTTCCATAAAACGTCTATACGATGTCTTTTAGATATCACAACTCCGTACGACACCCTTGAGACGTCTAAAGAACGTTCTGTACCCACTGGTTGTTTCGTGATAAACATTGAAATTTTGTTTTCTAATATATACATACCAAATCTCATTGGAGACACATTTATTTAATAAAATAAACAAACCCATTTTCTTAAATTAAATTTCTTATTTTTGACAAAATGCAAAATCAAAGAAGGTGGACGAAGTAACACCCAAAACTAGAATGCACAGATCTAAAAATGGAAAACTGACATTTAATCTTAAAGCTAAGAACTATAAAAGTCAACTTTCTGACTGTTAAAGACCATTAAACAAGCATTAAACGCTTAAAATTATTGAATTTAAGGTGTTTTATATTAAAAAAGGTGTTTTATATTAAAAGATATTTTTAAACAAATATGAATGGTAAAACAATTTTTTGTATCACAAAAAAGCTATGATAGGATAATTTTATCAAACTTTAAAAAACATTTTGTTCTTATAATAAACAAACAAATTTATGCATAAATTCTTTTTAAATATAAAATAAAATACTTTTAGTCTTTTTTTTTATTAAGTGTGTTTTTAGTTGATATCTAAAAGAGATTTTTTTTGGAATTGTTTTAAATTCTAAACAGAACTAACTTTTCAGCCTCCTTTTGATTAAAATTAGTCGACTAACTTTTTAGTCTAACTAAAAATATCAGAAGAACGTTTGTCAAATGTCGAAGAAGATTTTTTGATGATAAACGAAAATCCTAATATGTGTTATTACAACATGCTCTGTGTCTAATATGTGTTATTACAACATGCTCTGTGTCTGAAAATCTAAAATGTATGAAATCTATATAATCTATAAAAGTTGAAACCAATTCTATAATTTGACAATCTCATAACTAACAGTCTCATTTACAATTTTAGGGCTGTCAAATATTCTCTTGAAATCTGCTCTTTTATTGTGTACAAAAATCTTGGAAATTATTCAATTTTTTATCTTGCTTGATTGGATTAATTGGGATTTCCATGTCTAAAACTCTTTCCTTTTGCAGAAATATCAGCAATATTCCACCACTCTAATATCTGTTAAACAAATAAAGAGATACCTTAAGCTTAATTTTTTTTAATTTTTGAGAGAACTTTTTCATTAAATATTCTTAATACTATGGAGTTATAAACATACAGCAGCTAGTGTGAAAGGTGCTGATGTTTCAAACTAGTATTTCACACTAAATCAGTAAACAAACTAACAGTTTATTAGCCAAAATTAAATTTTTGAAACTATTTGGAAACCCAGTAATTGCATAAAAATTTTAAAAGATGGACAGTATCATTTAGTTCCAAACCATTAGCTCAATGAACAAGTTACTTTATTAGCATAATTATAAACTTAGCAAAACTGGGAGCAAAATATAGAGTTTGGGCGATAATTGTTAGTACGGAGATTGGATTCACACAATGTACGTATTAACAATTGTTGGCATTCAAATCTCTTTAAAAACCTTTTGACACAATAATGAATATAAATTCAACTTGTATTATATCTTGAATGTTACATATATTCAAGATATAATACAAGATAAATTAAAGTAAATCAAAAGTATGTCTTATATTTTAAAAGTATATACTTTTTAAAAAAGTAAATTAGTTGCTGATTTTTATGTTTAATATTTCAAGTCTTTTGGATTAGGTAAACGCTTGGTTAAGACTACTTGTTCCATTCTATACTATCAGGCCAATTTTTTTTACATATTAAAGTATAAATTGTTTAATAATAAAACCCGCTCGTGGCAAAGTTTATAAATATTTACTCCTATATTCCATCTTTAGACAATCTAAACGCATGACACTTGTTTATTGTAATTTTAAAAAAATCTTTTTTAGATATCAACTAAAAACGCACTTAATAAAAGGATTTTTTTTTCACATTTAAAAAGAATTTTTTAGATATAAAATAAAAACCCGCACGTGGCAAAGTTTATAAATATTTACTCCTTTATTCCATTTTTAGACAATCTAAACGCGTGGCAAAGTTTATAAATATTTACTCCTCATTTTTAGACAATCTAAACGCATGACACTTGTTTATTATAATTTTAAAAAATCTTTTTTTGATATCAACTAAAAACGCACTTAATAAAATAACTTTATTTTATATTTAAAAACAATTTTTGAATAAATATGTTTGTTTATTACAAGATGTTTTTTAAAGTTTAATAAAATTACCCTACCATAACTGTGTAAAACTCTTTCCTTTTGCAGAGATATTAGCAATATTCCACCAATCTAATACCTGCTGAACAAATAAAGAGCTACCATAAGCTTGATTTTTTAATTTTTGAGAGCAATTTTTCATTAAATATTCTTAATATTCATAAATATTCCATTAAAGTTAAAGTACAAATTCTTCTTACAAAATATGCAAAAAAATTTAAAGTTATCACTTAATAGCTACTTGCACTGTCTTTATATTATACGAAAAACATTTACAATTATTATGTAATATTTTCAAATTCAATATTTTACACTCTCCTTAAATTATTTTTACACTCTTGTTATTTCTTATGCTTTAACAAAATTTTTGATACCTGATAATTATGCAATGAGTGTTTTGTTTGATATTTATGATTTATAATATAGAAAAAGGTCTTAAATTTTTATTTAAGAATATTTAGCACCACTTTTTAATCTAAACATGAATAAAAGTACTATAATATAATTTTATGTATAATTTTATATGATATATATAGTTTTAAATTCTAATTTTAAATATTTCTAACTTTAGTTGCTTCTATAAGACAGGACATAAGTATATTTAAATAGTTTTTTCATGTTTCAGATTTTCAGGTATTGTACAAATTTAAGTACATGCTTATTTTAAAAAAGGATGTTTTGCATATAATCGCGGTAATGAAAGCCTGGAAATAAAAATACCCAAAATTGTTTGCCCCTTTCAACTCAAACGTGAGGGTAGTTAGTAAAATTTTCAACTTAATCTTTTTATACAAATTTAAATTCATCGACAGATTTAAATTTTATTTTATTAACGTCCAAAAGTTATGACTTATAGACGTTATTAACGTCCAAAAGTTATGACGTTATGGCAAAATTAAGCACCACTTACTTTTTTTTTTTTTTGGAAGGAAGGGGAGAGGGAGAAGGGTTTCAGAGTCATTTTATGCTAGTAGTTTAAATATTTCTCATAGTTTGCATAACTGAGAGTGTAGTTAGGGGAGAGCGGTGAGAAGTGGGACACGGGAGAAGTGGGCCAGGCAAAAATTTTCAGTTAGGAGAGATGCCTAATCAAAGTGAAATCACAATGTCAAAATAAGATTTCTTCCCCTCTATTTAGCAGACATTGTTTTAACTACCTACGTGTGATAAAAACTACATTTTTGATGAAGATTATTAGGTTTACAATTTTTATAGTTTTTAAATAATAATTGTTGATATTTTGTTAATTACTCGCTCGTCCCATTTTATCCACACTTGTCCTAGTGTGGGTAAAGTCATCAATGCCCAAAATGATGCTTTATTTCTTAAAACTTTTTTGGTTCAGTTATGTAAAAAAGAAACTAAAATTATTTTGAAAAATATTTTAATGTCCCACTTCTCCCCACTCTTCCTTATATATTGGCAAATACAACATACTAAAACTTGTCAGTTCTAACCAGCCCGTTAAAATAAAGCACATTTAATTTTTTTTTTTTTTTTGTATAAACATACCTTGATACCTTAACACAATTAATTATTATAATTAATATTATTATTATAATTATATATAATTAAAAATTAATAATTGTAACAAAAGCCTAGCCCAAGATGGAGTATTAATTGAGTTAACTACAAAAAATGTCGTGATTAAACTTTTAATATTGTTTAGCGCAGCTATTTTAGATTTTTAATTTAACTTTATTCTATTCTTTTTTAATAACTCTAAAAATAAATAATAAGTGGATCTATCTACGTAAGATAATCAAAAGTAATCTTATATAACGGTATATAGATTTATAGTTTTTGGCCTGGCCAATCTATAGATTCAAACAACACAATAAAAATGAACATTCCAAAAAAAGTCATTTTTGAAAATAGTTATGCAAATCATCAATTACCATTGTAAAATATTTATTCGTAATCTATTATAAGCCTACGTTTCAATTAAAATTGCCAAAACCAAAATTTTTGTGTATTTTGTTTTGTTTTAAACCCAAAAAAATCATTTACTTATATTATCCAGACTTATGCTTAAACGATACTTGATCAGCATTAAATTTTCATAATCATACTCATTCATAAAAAGAGCGGCAAAAAAAAAAGTTAGTACTAAATCCTTTTTCATTTAAATCTTTGCGAAAAGCAAAGAATCTGAAAACTAGTTATAAAATTTCTTGACAAAAAAATAGTCTTAAAAGTAGTTATTAAAGTTTAAAAATAGTTTCTCACTTCTTTTTTTTCTTCGTATAACTATGAACAAAATAAAACTTGAGATAAATAGACATCCACCAAACGTACCAAGAGTAGAATATAAAACAAGATCTTTGCATTCTGATGGGAATGATGCTTTTACTTGAGACAAATGAATCAATAAAATTACAGTAGTTTTCTTAAGCCATAACATCATTTATGACTTTTCTTTTTACTTTTAAAATTTCAATAACAAAATTTGTTAAAATAAAATAATTTTTTTTTAAATAAATGTTTTAAACTGTTGTATTTACACTCAAAAAAATTTATTTAGTTAATCGCATACGCACTTCAAAGCAATTATATAAATATCTAAGTTCGTATTTAACAACATGCAAAGAATTCGTGGAATGCAAACCATTTAACAAAGATAAAATAACTTTTATAAATAACAACTAAAGGGAAAAGAAAATGGAGTTCATTTCTTATTATAACTATTATTAACTAATGAAATTATTTTACGTAGTCTCTTCAAGATTCAATTACTTTGAATATTTATGTTAGTTACTCAACGTTTCATAAATTTATATTCTATGATTCTAAAATATTTCTTTGGTAAAATAAATTGAAATAACGAGGATCAATAAAAAAATTTTCCGTTTAGACGTCTAGAAAACATCTTAAAAATGTCTTTAAGACGTTTTTTCTAAGTCTAAAAAACGAAGAAAATCTCTTGATCGAGCCATGCTGACTCTTTTTTTTTACGGTTTGTTGTGTTTCCTTTTTTAAACGTTAAGCCTTATAGTTTTTGAATTTTATTTTTTTATCTTTACATTTTTGTACTTGTGTAGTATATTTTGATTTTATGCTGTAATAATTTGTATTTTTTTAAAACTACTTTTTTTATTTTAATATCCTCTATATTTCTGCTAATAGTTTACTTTACACTGACGTAAGTAGAGAAACTTTTGAAAAATACCATTACTTTAAGTTAGATATTTATTTGAAATAGTTTAATTTCTTTGTTGACTTTATATAAACCATTTTATCAAATATCGCATAGTCTTGGATCAGATAAATTTCTTATATTGTTTTTATCAACTTTTTATATATTAGAATAAACAAAATATATTAAAACAAAAACGAGATCTACTACAAGTCGAAATTAGCTTTAAAAATGCCAAAATATATAAACAACATACCAATAAAAATAAAAGAATGTCAGTTCTCGATCAAAAGATGCTTTTTGATTATTAGGCAATTAAAAAATATCTAATAACTATATAATAATTTAGTTAATGATTTCAACTATCAAAGGAACAGGATTTGGTTTTACCTTGAACACATTTATTGGAGTTTTAACAATCAACAAATATGTAAATATCTTTTATAGATTGAAAATTTCAGAAAGCTTGCATCAGAGCAAAAAATATTTATGAAAATAAAAGTCAAAAATAAAATATTTAAATATTATACTGATGAGTACAAGTGATACGATGAGTAGAGTTACAAATTAAAAAAATAATAAAATAAAAAAGTTTTAAGATTTTTTTTCATGCAGTAACTCTAAATGTATTAAAAAGTCATCAAAGAAAAATTTCGATAGATAAGTTAAATAATTTCAAAACATCAAACGAATTCTCAATTCAAATATCTATTAGTTATCTCACAACAATCAGTCAGGACTGAATTAAAATGAAAAAAAAAAACATTTGTTTAAAACCATCAGAAAGGTAGTTTTTTAAAACAAAACTCATTTCAATTTTTTATTGCCCTTTCTTTTTCATTAGTAAAAATGATGTTTTACTAATGAAAAAGAAAGGACATTTCTTCATAAATTTAAAAATTTACGAAAGTTGAGCTGGTTCATATCTATTTCGTTACCATACCTAGTCGTGATAAATGCTTTGATTGTGTTTTTACTTGTCATAGTTGACGTAAAGACATAGATACGTCAGGAGCGGGGTGTCGCCTTTCGATTATATTTAGTTGGCTAAAAATAAATATGGGATTGTCCATAAATTATGCAACGCTAAAGGTGAATTTCCACTCATCCGTTTTTCCTCGGGAACGAGATAGAAAAGGGAAAATAAATCACCTGAGCATTCGTAGTTTTACTTTGGACAAATTGAACCGCACCGCGGCAGCGCGGTATTTAAGTAGAATTTCACGTCTCCTTCTTTACCAATCTACCTAGAGCCGGCGTCGAACCTCGGACCTCTGGGTTATGAACCAGAACTTTAACCTCTGCGCCACGGCTGCTCTATACTGTATATATGCATAAAGTTTTTGGCTTCGCACCTCACACTCAACTGACTATGTCATGACTATGTTATCACCAAAGATGAGAAGTGATAACTTTGTATAAATCACACCAGTTTACGCCTGTGGGTATAGACGGAATAAACGCCAAAACTAATTTCAAAAGAAAAAAAGTTAGTGTAGTGTGGTGAATGTCACTAGAAACGTAACAACGTAGATGCAGATTAAAATCTAAGCAGCCGTAATGCAGTGTTTAGAGTTCTAAGTCAGAACTTAAAAGTTCAAGGTTCGATTCGGGCTCTAGGTAGATAAACAACATAGGTGAGGAAGTAGCTGGTTAAATGCTCAACCGCGGTGTTTTGTGATAAGACCGTTAGGTCACCTTGGAGCACCTTAATAACTATTTAAAAAGGATCAACTATCTTAGCACCAACAGATTATTTTTAAAACGGAATTCATGCCAACAGATTATTTTCTGCTCTAATCATTAAATAGCAATTTTTGCAATGAGTAGGCAATCAATGTTGAAAAGGTATTTTTATTGATTTTTTTGAGTACGTTTAGTAGCCTCAGGCTTTACTCTGGAGTCTGGGTAAATAAATTCAGCAAAAAAAAAAATACAATGAAGAATAAAATATTAAAAACTGTTTATTTTTGACAAATTAAAAAAAAAAATTATTTGCTTATTAACGGTATTTTACAGTTTTAAGATTACAAAATTGATATCAATAGATATAAGAGATGTAAGTGCAGACTTTAATTAAATATTTCTAAATCAATTTTATTTCTTTGCTGCTTACTAAGTATACCGAGTTGCGTACGAAGTTATTTTTTATACTTTAGTTGCTAAAACGACAATTTTTTTATTTTTTTGTGAATCTTCATTCACAAAATCCAGATCATTTAAATGTTTTGCAAAACTGTGCAGTGTAAAGTCTACAACGATACATGTTGTAATCATTTTTAATTAGACTTAATTCTTAGCTATAAAATGGTTACATAGTAATGGTATAAAAGTTAATGTTTATTTATCAAGATAATGACAAACTTTATCTAGAACAAATTTATTTAGGGTATATCCAAGACTGCAACTCATAATCTTTACTTATTGTGTGTAGAATATAAAGGTCAGAATATAGAGGTCAACTAGCTCATATACTTGAGCCTAATCAAAACTTATCTTAGTAGCGTCAAAACTAGAATGTCTAAGCATTTTGATTTATATATATTGTTTTCAGTGAAAAAAATATATTTCTAAGTGATTTAGTATCTAGCGTTTTGTCTAGATGTCTAAACTTCTTTAAGTTGCATAGCGTGAATATGTGAATCTTGTAGTTATTCCTTAGAAATGGAGAGATAAATGTATTACGTAATCGTTGTATTTCATTTTTTTTTTTTTTTCTGTCAGCCACCAAATTGCCTTTCAATGTTTTCAGTGGTATACAATAAAGACTACCATAAGATTATATGTGGTCAGTGCTGTGGCTAGGCTCAACCATCTCCTCCATATTTAAAGGGCCCTTATGCAAATTTAAGGAGCTTATTTTTTGATGTTGTAAATTTCAATGTTATTAAACCATTCATAAAAAATCATCAAAAATATTCAAACTTCATACATATAATTTCATATCAAGAGCTTTAGAACTTTTAATGTACTCTTAGGTGCTTAATACATTGGAAGTTTATCAATTTTTGGAAATTTTTTCCACCCACCCAAGCTTACTAAGACCCCCCACCCCCTCAATAAAAAAACAATATCTCAAAACTAAAACAAAAAATCAGAATATATATATGTACATATATATATATATATATATATATATATATATATATATATATATATATATATATATATATATATATATACACATATATATATATATATATATATATATATATATATATATATATATATATATATATATATATATATATATATATATATATATATATATATATATATATATATATATGTATACATATATATATATATACATATATATATATATATATACATATATATATATATATATATACATATATATATATATATATATATATATATATATATATATATATATATATATACATATATATATATATGTATACATATATATATATATATATATATATATATATATATATATATATATATATATATATATATATATATATATATATATATATATATATATATATATATATATATGTATACATATATATATATATATATATATATTATATACTGCAATGGCAAAACTTGATGAGTTAGGATGGGAAATACTTCCCCAGCCAGCTTATTCACCAGATTTAGCACCCAAAGACTACTTTTTATTTCCTAATTTGAAAAGATGGCTCCAGGGAAAGAGGTTCGCAACAAATGAAGAAGTCCGAAAAGAAACGAATGGATATTTTGAGGGACTTGAGAAAAATTATTTTAAGAAGGGAATTGAAATGTTGAAAGATCGATGGAATAAATGTATTGTTCTAAAAGGTGATTATGTAGAAGAATAAAACATATTTTTCCCGATATTTTGTTGTTTTTCTTGGAATTCCGGGAATTTATCAATCCATGTAATCAATATATATATATATATAATATATATATATATATATATATATATATATATATATATATATATATATATATATATATATATATATATATGTATGTATATATATATATATATATATATATATATATATATATATATATATATACATATATATACATATATATATATATATATATATATATATATATATATATATATATATATATATATATATATATACATATATATACATATATATATATATATATATATATATATATATATATATATATATATATATATATATAAATATATATATATATATATATATATATATATATATATATATATATATATATATATATATATATATATATATATATATATATATATGTATATATATATATTGCAGTATATAATATATACATATATATATGTATACATATATATATATATATTATATACTGCAATGGCAAAACTTGATGAGTTAGGATGGGAAATACTTCCCCAGCCAGCT